AAAACAGAACAGTAGAATTAACTGCAATCACTTTTCAGTTATGTGAGATAGACCAGATCTCAAGTCATCTCCCTAGAATATTTTTAACCTTCCTGTTGGGCAGCAGCAGAGACCTCACTAATGAACAGCAAAGCTGCAGGATGAAATCTGATTTAGGAGACAATGAAGCAAGGCATCTTTGGGAATTGTATAGAGCTTGTGCAGCAAGACATACCCAGGTCTAAATGCAGTTACCCTGAGTAGCATATGCTAAAATAACGGTCAAAAACCTTACTGCCACAATGATTATCTAATTATTATCTCGGGAAAATAACTTAGATTCTTTTGAAACAAATGCTATAAAGTAAAACTCTCCTGAGGCTTTTTACGAGCCTAAGGATAATTCCCCAATAGCTAAACTACCTCATCTGTCCCTTTTGATTTCAGAACCATTCATGCATGAGTGTTACATTAATGCAGCTGGACAACTGAGACTTTAAAAACAAGAGTAAGAAAATCCAGTTATGACTCCTACAACATTGCCAAAGCCAGCTTTATCGCAGAGCCAAAATACAAATATAGAACTCAACCAAAGACACAGTAGTCACTGTGGGACTCTCAGTTCTGAATTTGCTGACCTGTAGAAATCAGAAATTTAAACCAGTTCTCTCTTGCCACTAGCAGCAGGTCAGATCCTCCGTGCCTAAAAGCCAGCCTAACCCTTGCAGGAAACCTTACTTTCCAACCCCGACCCATTTCATTTTCTCAGCATCACAAAACTTCTGTGAAAGTCAGTAACGCTTTACTTACAGCCATTACACCTGCCACAAAAGGGTTACGTTGTGCCCTAAAGCACATGTTCCCAGAACAGCCCATAGGGAGGGTATCCATACAGGGATCTCGAGGTTTGTGTGACCTGCTCTGAAAATCCACACACACACACTCTTTTGTTCAGGAGTTCCCCTTGCGTTTAGGCAGACATTACAAACAAACACCTTTTTATACATATCTGCATACCACTGCCACTTACCTTTATTAGCCTATCCATCAAACCGATTGTATGCCTACTTGACCGAGCAGCACTGATTCTCTTGATCCTCAACACAGATTGTACACGAGCACAGGACACAGACTTTGTCTTCCTGGACACGAGTATGTTGAGGCTTATGCTACAACATATCGGATCTCACTTGAACAGCCTTAAAGCCCTTCCTTTCAGCCACCTTCCAGACTAAAGTCCACTACAAGATTGCAACGTGGAGAGGCCAAACTCCACGCATTTCTTCCCTCTTACAAGCAAGGCAAGAAGCACAAAGCGCTTTGCCTGACCACTCGGCATGAAGAGACAATACTTACACATCTTCACATTCATGAATAAGATAGTCCTCATCTATGGACTGCACTGTCTTTCCAAGGACCCTGCTTTCCTCCAGCTTAAAATCCTCACTACCAGGCCTAATCAAAGCAACTGGAGTGCTTTGTGAGGTTTGTGTTTTTTGGTTGGTGTTTTTTTTTTTTCCTAATGCAGCTATCACAAAAAAGAAAAGTTAGTGGGCAACCTAACGCAGAAAATAAGTGTGATTCAATACCTTGCCTCTGACACAGACCAATATGAGGTGGTTTAGAAGATGGAGCAAGAAACCCCAGTGGAAAACTATGGAACAAACTGCCCTTTCTTCAAACCTTTACCTGTTAGAGATTGGGTTATGTCTGAAAAATACACCTTCCAAAACGAGTTTTTTAGCTAAAGCAAGTCTGAACATTTCCACTCATAAGTGCTTGATCTTTTCTGAATCCCGCTCAGCTCTTAGCCTCAGTGCTATTATGTGGTAGTGAATTTCCACAGATTAGACATCATGTGAAAATACTTTAAAATCATTATTCAGTTTGATGCCTATCAGTTTCACTGAATTGCATTCACCTCAACTGAAGAATACATGCCAGCTCCTTCACCTCTTCACAGTAGTCTTCCTCAGGCTTGGCACCCAGCATTGTTGAAAAGCAGAGGAAAACTGAGCCCACCCAAGTGATGCTTATCCTGCATTCCAACCATTGCAATGCTATTCTCACACTCCTACACGGCCTTCCACACCATTTCCTTCCTAAGCACAGCTCCCAGGAGGACACTCCAGAAAGGGAAGCTCATGTCATTCCAAATATGAGACAGCCTGCAAGCTGCTGCTCTTGGCCCTCTCTGTCGGAGCATATTAGCAATAAGACCATATGTGAACATCCTGACAACGAAGAGAACAATTTCCGAGTCTGGAACAAACAAGGGGGCAAAAAAGAGAAAAGATTAAGTCAAAAAGATTCAGCCAGATAAGGCGTTACAATCCGTGGAAACAAGCAAACTGCTCCTGGGAAGGGAAGAAAGGGGGGGTGGGGTGTCTCAGAGTGCCCACTTGCTTTAAACAAGGCAGGGCCCGACTTGCACTCTATAGCAATTTCACCATGTTACAGAATACACAGGACAGTGGATCACACAGGGGTCTGCTTCATTTTGAAGTCATGGCTTGGAATATCCTTTTCATCTCTCCTCTACTGAGCTTTAACACCACAGTATCCAAGCATCTTATAGACACTTATGGGCTCTTCCTCAAATCCCCAATAAGATGGCTGCTAATCATATTTTGCAACCAAAGAATGAAGAGCAAGAAACAGTAATGATCTGAACACGTTCACACAATAAATGTGTGGCAGAAATTAGGTATCCTACGTTGTAGTTCAGAATTCTGACCACAGGGTCATCCTTCCCCTCCAACCAGCTGTAAAGGTACTTCAATTTTAAAAAGTAACATTCTTCCTACTACAGTTACAGACCCAGCCAATCTAGATCTAAGGAAAAGCCCTCAGGCAGGGGAACTGGCAGAGAGACAGGATGGACGATTTCATGCCCTGAGGCATTAGCCCTGTTTGCACAGATTACACACATAGTTCCTTTGCAGTCCTGTGTAAAATGAATTTCAGAGAGGATCATATTTACGCAGTTACTAGTGACTTGAAATACACACAGCTAGCACAAAATGCCACAAGCGCCCTCTCCATAGCTCAAGGTGTCATACAAAAAGGGGATATCTTCCCAACCAAAGCCTTCAAGCAAGGAGATGAACGTACGTAGCTTCAGGACTTTAAATTTACTCGCAAAGCACCAACCAAGTTGAACAGCCAAGAAAATCTGCTCTGTTATGACAATTCCAGTTCTTGACAACCCCAGTCAAAAGAGCAGAGGTGAGTCAAAAAGGTGTCAAGCCAGATCCTCATTTCTCAGCACAGGAATCCTGCCCTCAATCTGTATTACATGCAGACTCATTTGAGACCCCTACATGTTATATTTCTCCCAGCAACATGAAAGGCAGAGGGTTATTAGCCACTACTACATTATTCTTGTCACACTGTGCTGTAAAAGCTAGGCCGTTGCTAACAAGGACACAACACGGCTAATTTGTTATGATCTAGCCTCCAGAATTATTTCTCGGGACTATGCTGTAGATGTGGTGACACATGGAAATCTCACAGAGTCCAGCTTTCAGTGGATCCTCCATAAAACATAGCAGACATTTTAACATGTTAGGGAGCTCACCTTCAGAAAAAACATCAGCCTCCAGGACTCACAAGCATCAAGTCTACTTCGAACAACTACCAAAAAATACAGTCACATTTTACTGAAATTTGTTTATTTTGCTATTGCTCAAACAGCTTGGCTTTCTTCACCTTTTTAAAAGCACTTCATATGCCACACCAGCTGCCACAAATCTCTTCTCCAAGACAGCTCTAGTACCATTCACACCAGCACGTTGACCAAAAATCACTCATTGTTCCATCCGATTTTACTTAACCCGCTTTGGGACAAAAAGGGGGCCGACCTGCAAAGGACTATGCCTTTTTCACAGCTATAGTCTATTTCCCCTGCCTACTATGCCACATGATTATACTTAAGAATGGATGGTAGAGATAAGAATTCAGGGTTTTAAAGCTACAAAGCAAGTGACTTAGCAGCAGCCAACAAACTACTTGAAACAGATTGGAAAAGAATGAAAGGTCATCTTTGGTTCAGAAAGCTGGTTTAAGGATGCAAAAGGTATTGGCATGTAACTCATCCCCTCCTGACCCAATGCCTTGTTAATATTAAAGATGAAGATAGCCATGGGCTGCACTTTGGAACTGCTGGCCCTGCTGAAATGCATTCCCATGATTTCAAGAGCACTGGGTGCCTGGGAAGGAATGAAAAGCCAAAAGCTTCTGATACCACAGCTAAGACCTGCTAGCTGATTTAACATCCAGAAGCTGAAACACACTGTATGCAAAGCACTGTTGGGATGCATACGCTTTCTGCAGTGATTCATTAAGAAGTGAAGAAAAGAGAAAGGAGTTGTACTAAAAGTGATTTGACAAGTAACTGAAAGGTACGAACAACTCAAAGGACCGGCTGCTGGGTACCAAATAGCTGCCCCTCTAAACTGGATCTCAACAGTGAGCTCAGGAGAGGACAGAAAGGCCAGCGGTACACCTGCACCACCCATCAGGGGACCAGTTAAAATACAGGTGGAAAAAACAATGTGGTGGAAGAAATAACCTAACAGAACAGAGGATCACTAGAATTACCTAACTTTGGCATCGCAATTATTGCAAGAGCAGGATCATCGGAAAGGATTTCATTGGGATTCTTACTGGGTAGACCTCTTGTGATCACATGGAGAACACAGCTACTTCAGCACTGACAGAACAGACTTTAGACTGCTTCTCTGCATGGTGTGTAAAGAGCACTGGCTTGCATCTTTGGCTTGCATCTTCAATTGAGCTCTTCTTCCCAGAGGCTCTTACTGAATTCTTCAGGGTAACTCCCATTTCATTGACACCACTAGCCTCTCAATTCAGGCAATGTAGGCCTACTGTGATGCAAAGACCACCACAGAGAGGGACAGTTTTTCAGGTATGTAGCTCACGTATTCTCAAAAAATTCAAGTAGTGGGACCAAAAGAACACAGCCTGACTCAGCATCAGCTCATTCCTGGCTTTCTTACCTGCTGTCTGATGCTTCAGCAAGGATTCATTGCTTCCTCTTACGTAAGCCCTTTATCCCAGTTCCTTCTCTGAATCTGTAAAACAGAGATGCATACCTCTGAAAAGCTTTCTCCGGCACAGAACTATCTACATTTGATGGGTGATTCTTTTCAGCAGACAACCTCCACCTGGCATCTCTCAGATCTAGGTCATTCTCAGCCTTGCCAGACTTGCATGTCGTTTGCACACCCTGATGCCTACCAATGCAATCTCCTGCCCTTCTAAAAATCCGTTTATCAGCATTCAATCTTTTACTCTGCTCCGTGTGGTGTGCTCAAGCCTAGAGCCAGATGCAGTTCAGTATTTATTGTTCACCTGCTTTTCTTTACAGTCTTCCCACGTTCCCAGGGGCTGCTCACTAATTCTATAGGAGGAGGCATCCCTTGCACTAGAGAGTGTGTCCAGGCTGGCAGAGAATTTCCCATTCCCCCCTGCCAGGTTTAGCAACAGGGGAGCACTGCTCCCTCCCTTCCAACTCTGCCTGTCAGTTATACTCTGGTTCCTTAACACACACATGCTGGCCCAGACTTGTTCCACTTCGCAGCTCCAGCTCCAGCAGCGCTCCCTGCACAGATACTGCTTTCTCACTCCCCACACCACCTCCCTCTCCATCACCCAGACAAGGCTACACCCTGCGCGGACCCGGTTCGGCCTGCGGCTTCTGTGCCTGCTCTGCTCCCCACCACAGGTCTCCCCCCGGGACGGAGAGCTCCCGAATGCCCAGACGGCTGAGGCGGTAGCACTACCACCCTCCCCCACTGGAACGGTCCCTTCCCCCGGGGACGGGGCCGAGGCCGTGGCCCTGCCACCCTCCCGCACCC